CCAGGTAGACAATAGATGTTTAATCGGTAGTAAATGAGTAGGCTGGTCGAGCGTCAGAATGGTTTGCTTATTATTCTGCGTTTTCAAACTCGTACAGGAGTTCCTCATCAGAGATCACAGCAACGAAAATTGCGGGCGCTGTAAAGCAATCAACTATAATTGACGCATGTATGGAGGTGATTCCGCAGGGCTTTGTAAGCCGACGCCAGATCGTTTGGGTTCCTATCCTTAGACCAGGCTTCAATCAACTCCCGCCTAGTATTGTCTCCAGTGTGCGCGAGTACACTGACACCCGCAAAATGGAACTCGTTTCGTAGGTGTGCGTTGCAACTTGCGATGATTCGTCGCACAGCCAGCTTATGTTCGTGTTTGCGCGATCTCAGCATGCGTTCAGTTTGACCTGAGATTTAGCCGATCTTCGGTTTTCATCGCCCTGCTGTGCTGGGTAGATGTCCCAAACGAACGCGCATAGTCGCTTCTGAGACTGCCCTGATGTATGACAGAGCGTGCCGTATACCCAGTGGTGCTTCTGTTTGGCTCTCCGAGGCCGAACGCGCAGGCATCGGCTTATAAATGCCTCCGGATATGCAGTCCGAATAAATTGGTCTCGGAACTATCGGGACTAGGTACCTTTTCCTTCGGCCTACTGCAGTGATCCTGGATCCGCTTGAAGAGCGTTCACCCACAGCTTCATTTGTGAGCAACCGGGTGGTTGTTTTGAAGGCCCAACACTTGTCTTGTGTTCGTTGCCTTCCTATAAACCGTCGTCTCGCTTTCACCGTTGGGCGTTCTCTTGACGAGAACGTCAAGGAGAGGCAGCTACTGCTCTTGTTCTTTCCTCGTGATCTACGTCAGGGAATGTTCTGTTGAACAAGTTATGTAAGTTTTTCAGCATGGTCTTCTTGGCGTTAGCAAATGTGTCAATTTAGTGACGCTAACAGACCGGTTCATATTGGTGCGGTCAGTGGCTTCTAGCTCCTGTAGACCACTTCTGTCACTAGATCGGGGATCCCATTCGACTTCCTTTGATCGGTTGATAGGTTTCGCCAGCAAAAGTAAATTACTTTTTTGGCAAAATTCGAATGCCTCCATGAGGTGTTCGATTTTAAGTGGACTCCGAGCCTCATCATATGCCTCCTCAAGTCTCGTGCGCCAAATTCGGTGAGATGGATGCGAAGAACGAGATGAACTCGAAAGAGACCATGATTTCGTCAGATTGAATCATCCGACCTTGAAAGTCTTCAAGAGCTTGAGAGACTAATCAGATTGAGGTAGTCGAGTTGCCTTGGAGGAATTTCAGTTTTGTGTACATCCACTTTGTCAATTTATAGGTAATTATATACGGATGGCTGGCTCGGCGGCTTTGGGTCATGGCACCTTCGGGACCGCCACTAACGTAGCTTACAGACGCTCACTAAAAGCTTTTGATTAGTTTCAGAAGATCCCCTAAATTACACAGAAGGCCTCCCTAAAATCTGTGCTGTGAACTGTGTCTACCGTGTAGGTACAGATGAATTATCGCCAAATCGTCTTCTAAATTTTACAATGGGGAATTTTTTGAGAATTATCGAAAACAAACGCATGTCGCAGACCTGACGGCCGGAAATCTTTCTACCTAGACTCCTCTTACCCCCGGTGGCGATCTGAACCACCTTGATGCTCTTCCCACACTTCACTGTCGAAAACGGAATCTGGGCTCATCACGGTCGGTCGGAATACTTAGTTACGAGAAGAAGGCCTCAGGTGTCCGCTTGTGTTGTCAGATGGTTCTGTTTTTTGGAACTTTAGCCAAAATGGTCTATGTCGTCCACCCAACATAAGACATGTTAGTTTGTTTATGTGCTCAGCGCCAGTAGAAATGTTCCACCAACACCCGACACAGTTATTTGTAAGTTAGCACCAATAAGGCAGCATATTTTGCTACTTTTTGATACTTCATCAACCCGACCCATTTCGTTTCCTTGTATGGCACATTGCTTAGAGGTACCCCTAATGACAGAGTCCTGTTTGCAGACCTAAAATGCGTGGTTTTACATACTCCCTACTCCATTTGCTCTCACTTCACGATTTACACTCTGACTTGCTCCTAAGCCTTTAACGTTTTTTTTTGCTTGTGCCACTTTTACCTATTTAAGATTTCCTGACTGGATTTGTATGCCAGGAAATAAAGTGAATCCGATTGACTTGTGTGTTTTCAATCTTGTGGGTATCTATGCGTACCCCAGTGCACATGCCAGTTTATAGTTCTAAACTCTACGTATAAACATGAGTGCTACGTCGAAGTTCTTCCCACAAAAGCATTGCAAGAAGTAACTTTTGCATCGTTTTCTATGAGAAAAGTGACAGACCTTTGTTTTACTCGAGCCTGCGAACTTCTTGTGCGCCATTACTTTTCGGATGGTCATGCACGTTTTATGTGAACGGCTACACACCAGCGTGTTCTTAATAGTTCGAAAGTGGTGGTGGTAATTTATTCGTCATGTTCGTTAAGTATTCACTCCGTGGGATCACTCTGGGACCGTTCACAGCACAGTCGGGTGTGTTCCATGTGCGATCAGATATAGCGGCGCACAGCCTAAGCATGTGGTTTTATCGAAACTGCGAACAGGTTAGTAGATGCGATCGAACGTTGAAATTGGCCACGAGCATCCCCCGTTTTCCGGTTAACCCAAAGAAGTCGATGCTACACGATCAAGTGTTGCAAGATC